TTTAGAAATCGTACCATTGATAAATCCCAATTTATTCCTGACATTCAAAGCCATTAAGATCGATCGACGCCAAGAATGAAAATCAGAAGCAGTCGTAAGTCGATCCGAAACCAAAATAAGACCAGCATGATCCGTACTATGAAGATAATACGGATTCTCATAATGATCAACACTTGACGGAGTACGAGGCACCGGAATCACAGGTGGAGGTACAAAAGATCCCATTCTCAGTGTAAGAACAAGAAATTTCAAAGAAAACGAGACGAATTTGTTGTAAAAGAAAGAGAATCGTCGTCGCTATAGGTCAATGAAAGGAAAAAGAAAGAAACAGAACGGAAAATAAGATTCCGGTGACCAGAAAAGAGAATCGCAAATCACGAAGAAACGAAATCAAAAGAATCAACAAGAAAACGAAAAAGAGAAATCACAACTCACTTCCGATGAACACAACGAATGCGGAATCTTCATTTTGTGCTCTGATACCATAATAAAGTCTGATACATCGGAGAAACTAGATCGGAAAATGAGAGAGAATTGAAGAAGATAACAAACTTTTCTTAATCATTCAAATGTTTGTTACAACAACTTAATCATCAAAATGAGAGTGATTAAGCTTATATACATAGCATTAAACCGAGTATTAATCTCAGCTCAGTAAACCAAAGTTAACCAATAACATTGAACCGGTTATATCCTCAATAATATTTGCTAAAGTTTCTCTTAGAGTTACCTAGCGGTGATTTTTTTATATTCTTTTATTTTTATTGTTTGCACAAGTGCCAAAACCTAAGGCTCATTCAAGATACATTTTAAGGACACTTATGACAGCTTTTCCAAGGACAACCACAATAGTCCTACGTTGACAGCAAAGAATTTTTTCCAATCACGATCCTGGCTTGGCCAAAGAATCTACGAGGTTAATCTCTTCCCAGGGACTCGCGCGCTAATTCAGGCGACAAGGTAAAGCCGTAAAGGTGCCCACAAATTCTCTTAACTAGCCATTTTGTCATTTCACACTTTATAGTCTACCTTAAGATTGGTCGACTCTTAAGAACTTTTTTGCATTCCAATGTGAAGATGAGTTTTGGATGGAATTGATTTACTTTGCATTCACTTTTATGCATCATTAAGTAACGTTGTAACTTCTAACCAATGGCGAAGTTCGAAATTTTTGTTATAGGGGTCAAAACATTTTTAATGTAAAACAATATATATTATGTAAAAATAATATTATTAGTTTTGTCTAGAAATAATCTACACATAAGAAAAAGTATGAATATTTGAAAATCAACTAAGATTGATATTTTAGGAGTTTTTAGTTACGGTCCATAATAATTAAAAAGGACACAAAAGAATTAGATTTTATGTGTGTTTTTTACAAGTAAATATAATATTAGATCATTAGTTGGATTTTTTTTCTAAGTAAAACATGGATTTTTAATTTTATTAAATTAGAATTGGGTTTAAAATTTTAGTGGACCCACCTTAGTATTTGGGCTTTAATTGTTTCAATGAAATTTTTTAATCTCATGTGGTTAAATTAAATTTACATGGGGTCAAAAACTATAATGTATTGAAGTAGCGGAAGCTTTAAGGTCTAGAGATCCGTTGATTCCTCGGAATACCGTAAAACTAGGGTTTCTCGGATCTGTTGATTCTTCAGAATACCAGAAACGAGAGAATGTTAGGAATTCGTTGATTCTCCGCGGATACCGAATCCTACGTCTTCTTATAATCGTTGAGATCTTTCGAGATCTACCGAAAACAAGGATTAGAGAATACTTTTCTCTGAAAAGCTAAAAGCTCTTTAATTTTATTAATCAAATCAATTGTATACAGAAGGAGGCCTTAACGGCTTATTTATAATAAAACATAAGAAACCCCTAGAATATTCTAGAAACACTAAAAGATAAAGATTAAAATAATTAATACAATTAAAATATAAATAAATGGAAATTATCCTAATTCTACGCTACATCATGTATTGAGGTCATTATAATTAGGCCTTGAATATTTGGAAGATTTTAAGTGGTTTTTAGATTAAAGATTTAGTTTCTAGATTTTAAATTTTTGTTTTTGGTTTCTGGATTTTGCAAAAAATAAATAAAAATCAAATGAAAAAAAAAATGAAAAAGTCTCGTAGAACAAATTCCAAAAACTCAATCAATTGGGATTTTGAATTTATTAATAAATTGGTAAAAACTGTTAGAATCTAGATTTCCTATTTATTTATTTTTTTTCAAAATCTTGAATGGTTATGTAATAGATGTTTGAAGAAACTAAATCTAAAAACCATTTGAAAAACCACAACCATTCAAGACCTTAATCTTAAGAAAGTGTAGTAGTTTTTTTCAAAATTTATGGAGGTCAATTGACTCTCCTAATACTACATTGCCTCTGTCCCTGGTTGTGGCATTATTGACGGTGAAAGTAAATCATGGCGTGTGAGCCATTGGTTGGAACATTAAACTTCTTACAATCTCTGACAATGGGATAATGTGTTCAGCAGGTGGTTACTACATTGAAGGGGTACGGTGATGAAAACCATAGGTCATATGTTTGTTACAACTTTCAAACCACTATATATAATCGTAGTAGCGATTATGTTAAGCATCATCTTTACTGAGAAGTTGTACTTTCAAAGTGTTTTTGTAGTCGAGCTTTATATGTGAGTGATTATGGAAGAGGCTGTTAGTTTTGACTGTAAAGACTTTGACTACAGAGACTTTGGCGGTGGAAACTTTAATTTGGCTGTTAAAATCTGATTAGTAAAACAAAGCTGTAGAAGCTGTAACTGTTATTTTTTTAGGATTATATATATTCATAATAAATATAAATAATGTTATAAATGAATTCATGTGACAAAATAATTTTAGTAATGATAAAAATTTAGAAAAATACAAAAATTCATAAATAAATGTATAGAAAAATATTCTCAATAAAGAAACAAAATATTTCTTATTCATTCATGTTTAATAACCAAATATGTATTGAGTAGTTGTATAATTTTGAGTAATCAAAAATTAATAAAACTATTAATGATGAAGCAATTTATGAAATAATTGAATGGCCTATATGAAAGTATATGTTTTATTAAAAATACTATTCTATAAACTCTTTTATACCAATATTAATGGTGATTATGAAAATAAAATGATTATTATTGAAATGGATCTTAAAAGAAAGATTGAAAAATGATAATAATTAATTTATCAAAAAATATTTGTGAAACAATATATGTAAACATGTAGAAAGATTCTAATTATTATGAGGAGAAAAAAAAGAAAGCTTTTAATTATTATTTATTTTAAAATTTTATTATTTGTTTGAATGCCTCATATTTGAGACTTTAGAAAATTCAACGTAAAAAAAAAAAAAGTGGACAGTTAGACTTTAAAAACTTTTAAAAAACCTAAAGTCCTAAAATTATGATTGGTTAATATTTGGCTTTTAGTACTTTAAAAAAAATCTAAAGCCCTTAAAGCATCTTCCAATCACCCCTATACCTTACAATTCGAAGTTTTCTTGTAGTCGAGCTTTATATGTGGATGATTATACCTTACAATATATTGGGGAAAGACAAAACTTACAAATATCTTTCCACACCTATATATATATATATATATATATATATATATATATATATTACTTGAGAATATAATATTTAGGCTAAATATATGGGAAAATGATCATACAATAACAAAAATTAAAACAATACAATAGTTTAAATTAACTTTATAATATTGATTAGTAATCTTATTTTCCATTTATGAGATTTATAAAAAACTAGAGAGAATTATGAGAATATGGATAACATTATATTGATTAATCATTTATACACATTTGATATATACATATATTACTAGAGCAGTAGAGCAACGTTTTGAAGACGATTGTTTAAAATAAGAGAGTGACTTGTGCATTCTAAGGGCATATGCAAGGGTGCATCTTTGAAGTTTGATCTTAAGGGAGAAAAAATATTCAAATATTGTAAAAGCTTTAATTAAGATCTTTTGTAAAGTAAGTGATTATTGGTAGACCATGTTTAGATCATAGGAATTGATTTGAAATTGAAATAATGTAAGATCATTAGTTTACAATTTTAAAAACTTTAAGAAATAACTTTTAAATTGCAAACTTAAAAAACTTTTACTAAAATAGATTTGAAAATAAAAAGAAACACAAAATATAATATCAAATTTTTATGAAACAAAAAAGAACATTAAAGATATAAATAAAAAAAATAAACAAACAAACATATTATTTAATTAAACCCTAGCATAGATTTCGGATCGAAGGAGAAATGAAATGTTTTTTTCCTTTGCAAAAATTCGTAGCCAATGATGAAGCGCCACGTCACGCTAAAACTGGGCCAAGAACAGTTCTACAACAAGAACAGATCTATAACAGATCTAACACTATTCACAATATTTTCTATTTTTAAAAGGCTAAGAACACTTAAGTGTTTTACCTTTAAATATGGCCTAAGTTCATAGCTTTTGAGTTTTGACCACGTATTATGTTGAAAAAAATGCAAGAGGCTTATATGTACATTTCCACTACTGAATTCTAATATATCAAAACCAATTTCATTTCAGATATGTATCTTTCAATTAAAAACTCATACGGTTTATCATTTTTAATGGTTTCATCAATTACAAAATTAAGTAATATGATTTAATAGAATTACACAAAATAGATCCTTAGAAAGACAAATGATAAAATTTAGTAAAGATAATTATTTATTACACAAACGAATACTTAACATGACACTTAATGTCAATGACGTAAATCAATATCTCACATATGAATACTGTATATGATAAAACTTAAATCCCATATGCATGCATACGTATCTTTTTCCTTTATATTTTAATTATACTAAATCAATAGTCAATTTTTCAATAACTGATACATTTATTGATTGACACATCAGCTTAAGTCCAATTTTCTTACTCTTTCTTTTTTCACGCAAGATTTTGTTTATTCAAAAATTATAATAAAAAAATTATAATAACAGATAAAATATCCATTCGTTTTTATTAGCATTTTTGTTTCCTTCTCAAAACCCTATTTTCTTTCATCCCCACGATCTCCACCTCTTCCACTTCTTCTCCTCCAAAATCTCCATGACTACTGTATGTATAAAATCTCAAGAATGGTCTTCTCATCATCATACATCGATTACTCTCAGAAATCAGTGACTTTTTCTCATCCCAAAGGTATCAATTTACTATCTCCAATTTCTGTTTTTTTTTTAATTTTCTTATAGTTGTCAAAGATTCTTTAACGACAATTATATATAGATCTGCAAATTATATACCGATTTTCTACATTTCTATGGTTTTTGTATTTCTCTCTGCTTCTATTTAATCTGATTGCATTCACTTGAAACTAAATCTCTTTAATTTTGATATTGTCGTTTTTTGAAGATAGAATGCCGCTAGAAGTAACACCAGTTTCACAGCTTAATTCCGACCTCTCAACATGCAAAGTTAAAGTCCGGATTGCTCGCGTCTGGGCATACCATAAAAAAGATAGACCCAAAGATATTACGGGAATAGACCTTCTCCTGGTGGATGACAAGGTACTTTCATATAACTTTTCTATAAACTTACTTGCTTTATCCTTTCATTTAAACTATCCGTTTTCTTTTTGTCCAGGGAGATAGGATACAAGCCTCCATCAGATCGCAATTACTTACAAAATTCCAGGGAAAACTAGAAGAGGGGATTGCTACATGATTATGAACTTTGAGATTTTAGATAATGGAGGGAGTTATAGAGCCAGTTCTCACCCCTACAAGATCAACTTCATGTCCATGACACACGTCAAGAAATGTGAGCAGATTCCAAATTTGGAATTCCGTTTCAACTTCGTCCCTTTCTCTGATATACAAGGTCGGACTGACAATGAGTTTGGAATCATACACATTTTAATTAAGGTCTTCCTTTCCCTATCTGGTTCATGATCTTGATTGGTTCCGGTTCTTGCATAGTTTAGATGAAACTCCACAAGCTCTCTCTCCTTTATTTCACTACTCTCCATAAAATCGAAACCCTTTTTAATTCAAAAAGTTAATAATCCAATACTAAAACTTTCTAATTACAATCATAAAGTGTAGAAAACTGGCATGACAAGTAGGGTAAAAACTCATGTTTAATTTTTTTAAAAACGTTAACACACCATTAAATAACCATTTTTGTACCAAAGACAATAATTTTATATATTTTTAGAAAACCAATATGTGTACAGTGTACGCCTTGTAACCGACCGTGAATCTCTCCCAAAATACTTGAAACGAGCACTTAGTTGGCCAGTTGGGTTTAATTTCATTTTGTGCTTTCATAGTGATTGGAAGCATCGACCTATATATTTTACAAGGTATGATGCCTCAAATCATTTAACGAGCATCCCGTGTACATAAACTTAGTAAACTAGTAATGCTAATGTTGCCACTTGCAAGAAAAAGTGTTGAAACAAAGACCGATCGACATCTATTTCCTTTGGACCTACTTTAGTTTAATAAGTGTTGCCACTTGTCCTTTTAAGTCAGTCCACATTTTGTTCTTTTTTTTTTCTTTTTTTACGTCAGTCCACAATTTATTGAGGACACACATGGGTTTATCCATAAGTTATGGATATTGACGCATATTGTTGTTTAGATCAAGCTAATTGATTCGTAGATCTTCTTTCCTATTTTGATGTGTTCTTGGATATTATTGACATCTAATGAGCAGTGCCGGTCCGAGCATTTGTGAGACCCTACACGAAAAATAAAATAATGCCCAATATATTTATAAGTTTTAGGGCTAAATTTTTTTTTTGACCTATTTTTAGTAAATTATACAAAAATAATGATATTTTGAATATTATTACATTCAAATTTAATTGTTTGGGCCCTATTTTATTTATTTTTTTCGAAAAAAACTTTAGTTTTTACTAAATATTTTCATTTTATCGGCCTTTTTACCAAAAAAAAAAAAAAAAAACCTTAAAAAAAAAAAAAATTTGTGGTGCCCCAAGCCACCGCTTGGGTGGCCTGTCCTGCGGGCCGGCCCTGCTAATGAGCCTGCTCTTACCATGTCTTATGTCTATCATGACGTCAAGTTTGTAAAGAAAACTTTCGGATGGTCTCTATACTCTATAAAAATATGACTTTATTCATGCATATGTAATTAATTATTTTTCTGATTCTTTTGTTAATGACTTCTAAAAAACAGAAATTATTAGTGACTTTTTATTCATGCATATGTAAAGAATACACAATTGGAAATATAGGAAAAAATACAAATGGTCTATAAGTTATGCTTATAAGATTGACGTTTTTTTTTTATCAATAAACCATAATAATAAAAGCTTTCGGTCCGTTACGATATCATCTTTGTAATGAATACTTTCGGATGCATTTTTTTTTTTTACTTATTTTATTCATGCATCCATACAGTAATGACCACTTTCACCTTTGTTTATCCATATGGATATCTATAGATACATTTTTGGATCATAATTAGCAAATAAATCCTGAAGTTGAGAAGTATTTACAATGGCATGCCATTAGCATTAATTATATGTAGCAAAAGTCTCTACAAAATCTTTCCTTAAGTAAAGATTTTGAAATCAAATAAGTTTTCAACAATTTACCAAAAATCTCTACACAATCTTTTTAAAAATCTCGACTTAGTTAACTTCTGATTTTTATCTGCAAAAAAAAAAAATTAATAGTAACGAATGATGTAAAAATCGGGAATGTTGATACTTGATACTACAATTTCTTCTACTTCTTTTTTTTTTTCATATAATGAAAATTATTTTTTAGGGATATTTTTTCAAAACCTCTAAATACAACAAAGGGTTTCAAAAGATAGCTTCTCTTTTGGCGGGTCGACACGCAAACCCGCAACTCTCTACGGGCTTATCCGCATGAACCTGCGATCCGTAGTGGATAAAAATATTATTCAAAAAAAAATAACAAATGATGTTTAATTTTACGGAACGGGGTTATATGGTGTAACGGGTTTAGATCGATATTAATATTAAACAATATACTTTGGATGAAATCTTAGAATTAAAAATCAAAATTTAATTATAAAATCAGAAACACTAAACAAAATAAACAATATTAACAAAACAAATACAACTTAAAATTTTGCTAAATAATTTTTTAGTTATAAAAAATCGACCCGCTGTGTACCGCGGGATAAAATCTAGTTTGGAGTAGTAAAATCGGTTTATAACAAAAACGTTTGTTCCATAACAATGAAGTTTTTTAGTTGTTATAAAAAAAGAAGAGGAAGTTTTTGGTGTGTTACGTCCATAGCGATGACGTTTTCTTTCTTGTAATTATTCACGTCCATAATTTTTTAACAATTCACCAAAAAATAAACAAAACAGTAAGACCATCAGCAGTGGCAAATGTGTTTGTGTGGATGTAAGTATTTTTTTAGTATTATGATTTAAAGCAAAAGAGAAAAGAGAAAGAGAAAGAAAGAGAGAGATAGAGAGAAAAAGTGTTACACCCGAATGTAAACTTACACCCGGGTGTGAAGAAAGAGACAATTTTTTTGTTTTTTTAATACCTACACCCTAAGACTCACACTCACCTGCTTGCCCCACTGCCCATGCCCTAAGCTTGAGGTCTAATTTGATCCATATCAAATATTGAGGTAATAAAGGAGAATATATGTCGGGGGATTATATCAGATTCAGAATTCTCCTTTGCTTTTTTGGCGGCGCAATGGTATTGACAGAGTGGTGGGTAGGGGCTCTTACACCGGCAATGGTGCTATTGTCAACCATCTTAACTTGCAAATTTTTAGGCTTTTATATCAAACAATATTTTTAGTTTTTAAGCGAATCGTAATGCTAAACGTTACATAATTAAATGCTAGTGTTTTTTTTTTTTTTTTAGCAAAGCAATTAAATGCTAGTTTGTCATTTGAGTTTGACCACTTCTTACTGCTTTAGCTGCAGATCTTTAACTAAACCGATTTGTTAGCGCCCCACATCAATTCATTTAGGTCCTTCTTTATTTGGCCAAATTTGATTTCTAACTAAAAAAAACAAAACAAAACAAAAAACTATTAAACCAAACAAATATCAGTTTTCATCCGCGTTCTAAACTAATATATAAACCAGAAATCAAATTAAAAAATTTTTTCATCAACGATACCAAACAAATCTCTAGAAAGTAGAAACAGAGAAAAGCTTGAAACAACATAACAACATAACTAGAAAACAAAATTTAACGTTCAATATTTAGAACTCCAGTTGCAGCAAAATAACAGATGGCAATACGTTCCACATATGTTGCGTACGAAATAAGGTAACAGTGTTTTTTGGTCCAAAACGTATTACACGAGCCGTTGCTAGTCACTAAGAAACATTAGTTACCCTGAAGATGACGTCAGCTAGTCATGAGGTAATGAAGTGACGCATTGAGTGATGCTCTCATGTCTTTTATGTCAGAAACATTTGTTACCAATTTTAGTTGTAATTAAAAAAAACAAAAAAATGGGGTGTTATGACGTCCAAAACAGTGACATTTTCTTTCTTTTAACTATTTAGGTCCATAATATTAACAATTTAACAAAAAAAAAATAAGCAGATGGGATAATTTTGTCAATTCTCTATACATTAAAAGAAAGTTAATTTTTTACATGTCAAACGCACAATTTTTCAGATTTTATATATTCTTTATTCATTTAATTCTATTATTTTATTTATCAAGCACTTTTAGTTACAAACTATATTTTTATACATATACATTTTCGTAAAAATCATACATATATGACTCTATTTTTTATTATATATATAGAAGTATGTTTATAAACATTTATATTTATTGTATATATACACAATAAATATAAATTCGATTCAGAAATCAGGTGATCTAGAAAATATTCGGATTTTTGAAATTTGCTTAAAACATATATGATAAACCCAAACACAACCACTATGTATTTTTTAAACATAGTGAAATTTTTTTAATAACCTAATCCAATGAATATATCTTATTATAGACAAAACTGTTAAAAAATTATATAACACAAAGATTCTCCCGAACATGGCATGGCCTCGCTGGTGTATATTTATTACTAAGTTTTTTTTTTTTTTTTTTTTTTTGTCATCCGAAATTAATTAAAGCTCAAAAGAGCCATTCCTGAGGAATGTTATTTACATAAGTGATATGAAGCGGTTCTGTACGAACTTTTCGTGCCAGATTATCCGCCTTAACATTAGCCCTACGAGAAATTAAAGATAAAGAAAAAGATGAAAACTCCTCCTTGTTGCTCTGAAATTCCTCCAAATACACTAAAAACGCCGGCCATTCGGTTGGTTATTACTAAGTTTTTGTGTTGACGAATTTATTCATCCATCCATCAAATATCCACTTTCACTTGCCCTCTCACATTATTTTTTTTATAGTATCAAAAATACAAAAACTTCACATTCTTTTCACAACAAAATGTCCTCTCTAGTATTCTTCAATTACAGAGGTGCGGAGCTGCGTTACAGCTTCGTCAGCCACCTCAGTGATGCCTTTGAGAGACATGGTATCAACTTCTTCCTAGACAATCATGAACTGAGGGGCAAAGATCTTGCAAATCTCTTTGTGCGAATCGAAGAGTCGAGGATCGCACTAGCCATCTTCTCCACAAGGTTATATTACATTCTTCACGTTACTACATATTCAATATCTCTTTTATATAGGTATTTTAGACTTTTGGTACTGATATTTAACAACAAATCTGGATCCGCCTGCTTGTCCTCATTGTTACTTTACTTCGTTCAGATTCATTTTTTTTTTTGTTATTGGATGCAATTGCTCTTGATTTGTTTAATGATTCACCATACCAAGAATATCTAATGGTGAAAATTAAAAGATAGTGTAGATATGCAGAGTCGAGTTGGTGTATGGATGAGCTTGTGAAAATGAAGAAATGTGTGGATAAAGGAAAGCTCAAAGTCATTCCTATCTTTTACAAGATTAGGGCAAGAGATGTGAGAGGACAGACAGGAAAGTTTGGTGACAAATTTTGGGAGCTAGCAAAGGTTTCTCGTGGAGATAAGATCAAGAAGTGGAAGGATGCTTTAGAATGTATCACCGGGAAGATGGGTTTGTCCTTGGGAAAAAAGTGGTAACTCACTAATCTTGATCTTCTTGGTCTTTTAAGACTATAAATAAAACCCTAAACCTATATATGATAGTTTTATGATTTATGATTTATATTCTTTTTCTCTCTTTGGCCAGTTCCGAAGCCGGTTTTATTATGGAAATCATTAAGGAAGTTAAGATAGTTTTAGCCGCAATTGGACGTGAAGGAAAAGAACATAATTATGTTAGTGTTTTAAAAAATAAGAAGAGAAAGATTTGGAATTGTCCATATGAACCTGTTCACTACAAAAGGAGCAACATCCAGAAGTTCTAAAGTAAACTAAAGCAAATCTTCCGCGGCGTCAAGTGTTTAAAATGATGTGATTAGTTTCTTTGTTGTGGAGATCATGTACCTTGATTTTGTGTAAGACTGTAAGGTAAGAGAGTATAGAAGAAATTCTATAATATAATTCAAAAATAGCTGGATCACTCTTTAGGTTTTCTTCTTGGTTCTTTTAATGCATGAACTCTATATTTAGCCTATTGTTGGGAGATATTATAGGAATATAATCTCATGTATTTCACAGACTGTATACATGTATGTATAAAATGAGAGAAACTAGGCTAAAGTTAACATAAGGTTACTTCATACAAAACAGAGGAATATTTAGGTAAAGAGATGATTAAGTCTATTGGTCCTTTGCTTTTCCGGCGATAATGGTATTGACGAGCGTAGCAGTGGGTAAGGGCTCTTAAACCGGAGGTGATGCTGTCCTCGGCCATCTTTAGTTGTGATTTTTTTTTTTCGTCGAATGAAGTCATTATATTAGATGGTTTGAGAAGTCACTATGCAGCGCGTTTGATATTACATGAGGAACCAGATTATGAAAATAGAAAGTAGAGTTATAAAGGGATTTGTTGCTTAGCAAAAAGATCAGTAGGTTTATTGCAAAATCCCGTTGTCACCAAGTGAATTGACAATCTGTGAATCTTTTCTTCTATCTTCGTGCTTCACTAATCCAGTTGAAAATACCAAAGTTGAGTTTGTGACCATTGAGCAGTTCCGCAACTACTTTGTTGTCGCCTTAAAAGCATACCCTAATGAATCCATTGCTCCAACAATTATGCATTGCGAAGTTTAAGGCTTGGAAGTCACTCTCTAAAGCATTACTGTCCACCTCCCTTTCGCTCTTGTAGAAAACAGCTTTTCTAGTTTTTAAAAAATGGTAAAGGATTTTCAAAACGTTTCATGAATTTTATAACTAAAATCAAAATTCAATCTGTCAAACAATAACTAAACCCACAGAAGTAATAATTTTTTTATAATTCATTTCACTTCCTCTTTTTATTTGACCAAATTTAATTCCCAACTAAACCAAAATCTAGAACATGCAAGAAAAAAAAAAAGTCAAACCACAGAACCAAATTGTACGTTCTACTAACACAAATGTAGTAAAATCAAAAATAACATATGGCAATACGTTCAACAAATGTTGCGTACGAAATAAGGTAACAGAGTTTACTTTCAGTCTTTGGTACAAAAACATAAACATAGTTTCCAACTTTACTTGATGGTTGGATCCAAGAGAGCCATTGGAAAGCCCCCTACTTACTTACTTCATGTCAGATTCCACTACAGTCGCAGAAACTGCTGCGTCAATGTCCAACTTAATCCGTTTCTTTGGTTGCTCAGCATCTCCAGACACGGGCAGAGTTTCTTCTTCATGGCTGGTACCTGAGCATTCACCTTCATCTACATGTTCTGTGTTGTCCTCCTCCTCCTGGTTCTTCAGCTTCTCTATCACCTCTGCTACTTCTCTATTGACCTGTTTACACACAGTTCACCAAAGAGGTTATTCATGAGTTTCACTTAGAATCAAAAAGAAGATATATATGATGATGTTTCACCTGAGGGTTTTGGATAAATTCAGCAATGTCTGTTGGGCAACAAGGGCACTTCATGACATTCTTTTGTGCGCGTAGTGTTCGTCCACCTCTGCTTCTCTCTCTCATTAGAGTTTTCCCAGCAAATTTGGATACTATACAAGCCTTGCAGAAGTTATGAGCACAAGGTGTTGTCACAGGATTAGTCATCACTTGCTGGCAGATCTGGCACTTAAATTCTGCATCAACAAAATCCCATTGACAGTTTTAGATGGATTGGAGAAAATTTCAGAAACAAAGAAAGAGGCTAATACTAAGATAACCATTTTGAAACATAACTTCCTCACTATAAACATTATAACAGCAGAGGTAGAGGAGGATTTGGACACACTGACCTTTCAGAAGTCTTGCCCTCATCGTATTCGACCGTGCCGATGTCATGGCTTTCCTCAAAAATTTCCTCTCCTCAGGATCCTTAACATTATTAACTGCCTTTCTACTAGCAGGTGGCGGCTTCATCCATCGCCAACGACCCTCACCTTCCTGATCAAGTAAGCGTATATTATTAGTGGAGACAGGGGAAATATTACATATTAAGAACTGTTATACAATTGAGATGTCTTTATATAACAATGGATACATGGGAACTTACATCAAAATCCCATGATGGACTTTCTTTTCTCTCAAATAGGTTTGTGGCCATATTAAGCTCCGGAACATTAGGCAAAGGTCTTGGACGATCTCCATGCTCATCACTACAATATATCACATCATGCCTTAGTAGTTGAACGTATTGCCATCTGTTACCTTATTTCGTATGCAACATTTGTATAATATAGAAAAGGCGCACGACTACAAGAAGTTGATCAAACCTGGTCCATGGAGCTGGCTCATTGTCACATCTAATAAACAGGAAACGACAGACCTTATAAGAACCCTATATATGGAAAATAGAAGAATAGGTCAATGCATAAAAAGGAAGGCAATGGAAATTAGTTATCACAGTTGTTAGCTATATGTGTACCTGTACTCCAACTTTGATCCAACATTTCTCGATGCGGTAAACCCCATCATACCTTAGTAATTCTCCCTCAGGGGCGTATGCAGAATGCATGTCCTTGGAAGACCTGATCATATATGGAAAAAGTTAAGTGAAAAAGTAATTAAAGACGTTGCATGGAATAGAGTTGTGCTCAAATGACCCCTAACCTGACAACTCGAACAGGATACCCCAGTTTGCAGCTAAGTCTTAAGGCTTCATTAGACTTTTCAAATTTTTGATCAAAACCCTGAACGCTGTTAGTCCTTAAGTTGCGAGTACTGAGATCTCTTCCCCCACTGTGTGACACATTGAAGACAAAAGAGACAAAATCTATCAGTCAACTGGAGATTATTTAGGGAAACAAATCCTAACAAGAATAAACCAAATCGAGCAAAAGCAAGCTCGGAGTAATGAATAGCAGACCTTCCTGTGTATAGAAACCATTCTCCATGATCCTCATCATCCTCATAACCTCCAGCGAGCACAACAGATTGAGCTCCATAACTAGCTTGTCCAGCAATGCCAGAAACAAGTGGGAAGTGAACCCCCCACTGCCGAGCCGTATGTCGGCCCTTCCAGGATTCTCCAACCAAAACACCTTGGTTCCTAACAGGATCATGTTCAGCTGGTATAGGACCAAAGTGATCCCGTGGGATTGTTACAAAAATCTTGCCGCTGGAAGCATTCGCATTCCCTAGTTTCTTAGCTCGATCGGTTGTAAATGCTTTATCTGGACGGTCTTCATTACTGATGACGTGAACAACTTTAGAAGTACTCGCATCAACCCTCTGAGATAATCTTGCCAACCTAATAGCAGACACAATGGACAAGTTGATGTGGGGATTGCTTATCATGCTTTCAGGAACTACGCTGCGGCATGTTCCACAACTGCGATTTCCCTGTCTCATCCACTTCAAGAAACATTTCAAACAAGCGTTGTGCCCACATGGTGTCTGAAAAAGAAACACACAATATATCCGTCAGCCCTAATGAAATACTTATTTTGAAAAGAAGAAATTAACACTTAATTAAAACGTCTTGCAACTCCTACTACAGTTTCCCGTTTCCAATACTCATCAATGACAAAATTAATATGAAACACTAACTTAATTGTCTAAAAATAAATAAAGAGAAACATCCCATAAACGGCAACCAAACAACGATATAGAAAATATCAAGCATCAACAAAAGTGTACACATATCACCTCTCAACTAATTAATTGTTTGGTTGCCGTTTATGTGATGTTTAATTAATTGTGACAAACAACGAAAAGAAACTAAACACCAGATCCAAAACTAACATAAAAACACGAACCGACACTGGTTTCTGTAGCAACTGCATACAGATTGAGCAATGGAAGTGCGATAGCACATCCTCATCAGCGGGTTTTTTCCCTTTACTCTTCCTCTTCTTCTCTTCTTCGTCATCCTCATGGACGACGGCTTTACCACTCAGTAACTGTTGCCTCTTCTTAGCCTTCTCTTCAGCAGAGAGAGAGTCATCTGCTTCAATCTCGTGGATCGCCACTACAAGATCTGAACCAACAGATCCATATCCGGGCGCAACGCCGGAAACAGGAAGAGCATCGGTTTCACCGCAGCAATCAGGACAAAGCCACTGTAAAGTAGATTCGAGGGTTTTGGGAGGTGAAGAAAGGCAGGACACGTGCCAAGGCGTAACGCAAGTGCCGCAAGTGAGAGATTCCTCCGGCGGAGGCGTCGATTTGCATCGCATGCAAACACCGGCGGGGTCACACGGGAATTGGGTGTCACGCGTCATTTCCGATGATGAGAAGAGCCAAAAGATGAGAGAGAGAGACAAAGAGAGAGAAATAAGGTGAAGAAGGTATTTAAATTTTTAGGGCTTCAAATTAGCCGTATAAGGAAGGAAATTTCTTTTAGTTGTCAAAAACTATAATTGTCCTTCTTACCAAAAAAACAAATATAATTGTCCTACTATAAAATATCTACCATTGAATATGGACTAATTATGATTTTTGAACAATTAAGATAGTAAAATATTATTATTATTATTTTTAATATATTAAAAAGAAATAAATCTTTGAAAATTATTTGCCTATATATTATTACAAGGTTTGTTCTCTTTATTTGGTTTTATCCCTTTTTAATACAAATGATAACAATGGATGTTAATTTTAATTTATGGGTATTAGAAGGTTCTCTATACCCACTTACAACCTAAAATGTGATGATGGTCTACATGTTGATTCATGTCTACGCGATAGTTCTGTTCTCATTATCCCACATACACAACGTTGGCTCATGTCACCATAGGTTACAAGCTATTTTCGTTTCTTTGCTGTCTTCTCAAGATATAACTCTATCTACTTGATTTGAAGACCCCAAAAACTAAAAACAGAAAAACATGTCTTTACCATTCATATGGAGATCATGAGTTTCGTTTCTACTGCTACTGGATGTTGTAGTTCTTAAAAAAAATAACGAAGCCGCTTACCAAGTTTTAAGACTCACAAGAATGATAGTATCTCTAAGTTGGTTTTTCTCCAGACTCACTGACAAATCCCATCTTTTCTCTAAATGATTTAGAAAGACACAAATTTATGAAAATATTTTTTGGTGCAAAAAAACCTTGACGTAAATAAATAATGATTAACTAATTAATCATTCCTTTTCGGCAAAAGCACCACTTCTGATATATCTCGCGGTCTCACCATATGTTGTGAGGTTTTTACTTGTGATAAATATTTCTTTAGAAATTTTAGTAAATTTTGTTGCAATTGTATAAATATTATACTGAATTTCAATTGAACCAACTATAACTTTTATTATATATTTGAGTCATTCTAACAAGCCCATATAACTAACAAAAATGCTTTCTAGAGGAATGTGTATTTCAATATTAAGAAACACAATCTCTCAAATAAAATTTGGAGGTGATTGAAAATGATTTGGTATCGGAGGCCACCTCATCCCTAGGCTGGATCATCCGTACCTGCCGGGGTTCTCGTCTTCGGGAGATAACTGAGAGCATCAAAGCAACTCACCCGCCTTCTCCTACAGCTGGGACAAGATGTAGTTTTATGACGATGACTATTGACCGTGTGTATATGCGAAACACACTTGGGAGCAGATCCGGCTACAACACCTATGCTTTATTTTCTTGTTTTCTCAACAGAATTCTGAGATGTTCCTTTATCACCTGAGTTGCTTTTAAAGACAGACTAGCTACGGAGTCATACAAGAATGTCTACTATGTGGTGAAGCAGATGACTCACGCGACCATCTCTTTTTGTCTTGCCCATACTTTTTCACCACGTGGATGGAGATCAGCGCACCTATTCTCCGTCACCACATCACGCCGGATTGGCAAGACACAGTTCGTAGTTGCTCAGCCGAAGGTCAATCACATTGACAATTCTCTCATTCTTTTGTGTTTTCAAAGTACGATTTACCTTATCTGGAAAGAACGGAATGAAAGAAAGCATGGCCGGTCCTCATATTTTGGGGTCCAAAAACGTAAAATTTTTTTTCTTAAGGTTATTTTAAAAGGTTTAAAAAACGGGAAAAATGTCATTTTATCTCCCAACTTTCAAAAAGTGGCCAATCAATACGTCAACTTCATATGTGGCCATTTAAAACATGAAATAAACGTTGACTAACGTTTGAGACATGGAAATTCGTTGACCAGGCCAAAATAGACATGCCGTTATCAGTCGTTAACGGAACCTCTAACGCCCGTTATCACCCGTAACGACTCTGTTAATCAACTTTCAAATTGTGGCCATTTTAAACATCAACTTTATATGTGGTCATTTAAAACATGAACTAATCGTTGACTAACATTTGAAACATGAGAATTCGTTGACGAGGCCAAAATAGACATGTCGTCATCATTCGTTAAAAAAACCTATAATATCCGTTATCACCCGTTAACGACTCTGTTAGTATATCCAAAACGACGTCGTTTTGAAAATAATCAAGAGAAAATCAGGACAAATTTTTTGTTTAAAGCATAATCCAAGGACATGGTTTGATATATAGACAATCGTAGAGCCAATAATTGGAAGCAAACATCGTTTATATATTTGTTTTAAATCTAAAAAGGAATCATGGAAGCAAACTTGTAGACCCATCATAGGACTAAAATAGGCATGGGCGTTCGGATATTCGGGTCGGGTTCGGGTTGGGTTTTTCGGGTTTGGGTTTTTCGGGTTTAGAAAACTAAGATCCATTCGGGTATTTTAAAACTTCGGGTTCGGGTCAGGTTCGGATCGGGTATTTCGGGTTCGGATTCAGGATTACCCAAAGTATCCAAATATTAGAAATTTTGTATCCGATCCTATGCAAAGTATTGAAAAATAATCAAAAAATCTATAAAACCCAAGTATTTTAACCCGAATCTAACCCAAAGTAGCTAAAACACCCGAAAATATCTTAACATCCGAATAATTTTGGCACTTAGGTTATTACAAGTATAAATATTACTAATATATTATAACTATGTACTTATAATTTGGGTATGTTCGGGTACTTGTTCGGGTTCGAGTTCGGGTTGGGTTCGGGCCTAAGACTAAATGTAGCTTTTCTGAAATGGAGATAGAGATAATAGGACTATTCATCTTGTTTGAGCTGTTGTAGAAATAGATTTGGGGATTTGGTGTTTTCATTTGGGAAAAATCTTTTTGGACATACTAACAGTGTCGTTAACGGGTGATAACGGATGTTATAGGTTCTGTTAACGAATGATGACGACATGTCTACTTTGGCCTGGTCAACGAATTCTAATGTTTCAAATGTTAGTCAACGATTAGTTCATGTTTTGAATGGCCACATATGAAGTTGATGTTTAAAATGGCCACAATTTGAAAGTTGATTAACAGAGTCGTTACGGGTGATAACGGGCGTTAGAAGTTCCGTTAACGACTGATAACGGCATATCTATTTTGGCCTGGTCAACGAATTTTCATGTCTCAAACGTTAGTCAACGTTTATTTCATGTTTTAAATGGCCACATATGAAGTTGACGTATTGATTGGCCACTTTTTGAAAGTTGGGAGATAAAACGACATTTTTCCCTTTAAAAAACAAGGGCATATTATTGTAAAAATAAATTAAATTGGTTTATTAATGTAATAATTTTTTTCTGATGGATTTCCGAAATAGTTGGGGGCGAAAGCCCATGTTTCATTGTGCGTTGTCCAGGATGGGTCATTGACAGAAGCACCAACGTGCCCATAATATACTTCGCAACAGCTCTCTGGATTCATTGAAAAAGTCATAAGAGCTCGGATGTCCTCTTTGTGTTACGCACCTGACTCAACGAATGGTATATATATGGATTCTCACTCACTGATGATGCTTTGTTCCTGACGTCGTCTCTGTTTTCTATAAGCTATGTTTCGATGCCTCTGTTTTATGTCTTTTGATCTCTTGAAACAGGCCGACCCAATCATATTTGCTGCCCAAAATGACTTTACCACTAGACAATGAAACAACTATTGGACTAAATTGTTGCTCCTAATATATATAAGATATTTTTGGCGCCTAAAGCCCTTGCTTCATGGGCTTTAGCCCAGGGTCGACTCTGTCTTGAAGCATAACTTAGAAGGTGTTATTTGTTTGTTATTTAAATAGAGTTTTAGTGACTTAAAATGTTATGTAGAATCTGTTGTTATTCAATCAAGATTTTTAAATTTTTTTAAAAGTTTAGTGTTATTAGTTTAAGATTTGAAAAAATTAATCTAAAATCTTCATAAATCTGGAGTTATTGGATTCATACTTTTATAAAGTCAATAAAAGTTTTGTGTTATTCAATTAAAACAAAAAAATCTATCATGGTTAATGAATTAAATTATTATGTTATTGGTTTATGTTTTTCTACATTTTTCTTAACAAAATAAAGTCATGAAAAGTATCATCAAAATTGAGAGATTGTTTGAGAAACTTTATAAGATTATAAAAACTAACCAACAAAATTATTGAAAACTGTCTAGCAATACTTTATAATCTTTCATTTGTTTACGAATTAAATCATGAAAATTCCTTATAAAATAGGAACCAATAACACCCTCTTAGTTTTTTTTTTTTTTTTTTTTTTTGTGATTTCCCTTTGTACATACTATGTTTTTGTTGATGAATTATAAATTTAACATTTTAAAAAACAAACAAAAAAGATTTCTTCAACTATTTTCAATTTCCGAATGTTTTTATCTACAAGTTAAATTGTTGGCATGATTAAGTTTTTTTTTGTAATTAAGATATGATGTTGTTTTTTATATTTTCCATCGCTAAAGGGATTTTTTTTTCTCTCAACCACACATTAATTAAAAATTAATTTCATGATTAGTTGCCCAATCAGGATGAGAACAGTTTACGAATATAACTTCAGAAAATAAAAATCTAGAGGATTGAGCTAAACAATCCGCTTTAAATTACATAAACGAGAAATATAAGAGAGAGAAAAGAGGGGAAAAGAGTCACGGAGCAATCCAAATTCATCTAGCATATTGAAAAAGCGAACTATTCTTCCGGAGACTGCACCATCAAGACTAACCCTGTACAATCTGTTTCAAACGCATAAATCCTAACATTCAATCATTCTTGAAAGATTATTTTGCATACCCCAAATTAATGCTTCCATCTTCGAGTGAAGGGATGGACACCCCCGAAGACACTTTGCACCAAGCAGTATTGTTTGATCATTTTCTTGGAAACACCACCATCTTACACCCATAGTTGGATCCAAAAATTTCAAAGCAATATAGGTTTTTATTTCTTTTGTTAAATATGTTGAATTTTAAATCATAATCTAAATAGTGTGATAATCTGACCAAAAAATCTATTCAAATAGTGTGAAATTTTTTAGGTAAAT